GCGCTCCGCACTCCACGTGTGCGACTGCCAGACGCGGCCAGCAGACTCATCCCGAGAGTCTCTCTCGCACTCATGGAGCGTCCCGCACTGGTGCGAGAGAGACGGAGCGACGACTATCGGAAGCGGTCGGCACGCTGCCACGGCTTGCGGCCGGTGCGTCAACGCTGGGATGCTGCACGCGCCGTCTCTCTCTCTCTCTCTCTCTCTCTCTCTCTCTCTCTCTCTCTCTCTCTCTCTCTCTCTCTCTCGCACTCATCAGGCGTCCCGTAGGGGTGCGAGAGAGACAGCGCGGCACCTCAGTCATTTTATCAGGGTCGTTAATCGATCTCTCGATCCGGATCGAGGCAATCGGCACCGCGGCACCGCTATCGCGCCGTCGGGCGGGGCGGCATCGCACGCGTGTTCAATTCGTTCTCGGAAAACTCCCTCCTCTTCTTCTTCGACTTCATTTCCTCCTTCTCCTCGCTCTTCTTCTTCTTCTTCTTCTTCATTCAGTCCAGTTCCATCGGGAGTAATTGAACCAATTTGCGAAGCCCCTCGTCGAATGAAAGCCCTGACCTGAAGGGGATGGCCGACTTTCGGCTCCGCACTGTTTTGACAACCCTTCACGATAATGACCGTTCTTTGCGGAGCAACCGATACGCTTATCGCACTCGTCGGAACGAAACCGGCATGCGAAACGAAATGAAACAATCAGCGAGCGAGCGTGGCGAGCTCGTGGCGCCAAAAGCAAAACACACCATTGCATAACCTCAAATTACCATAACCATACAGATCTGTTTGATGACACAAAAAAATAAATAATAAAACAGAAATAGATTCGAATGGGATTGCTCCTCACTGCAAAGTTGGTCGGCAAGAGGAAGCCTTGAGGGAAGTCCCTGCCCGCCCAGCGCACCAGTGTAGCTACATCCCCCTCCCCATTCCGCCTCAGGGGGAAGTCCCTCACCACTGTTTTGCACTCCCTCGCCGCCTTCGACGGCCCGTTCCCTCTTCGACCGTCCGAGGGCTTTGCGGACGTTGAATCGATTTGGATTCGAGTACGGGGCTCCGGCAAAAAAAAAGCAAGTCTGCCACCAACCGAAATCCCAAGGCGTGTGAATGTGTGGCGTGTATGTGTGGGTAACCGTGTTTCTTGTTTTCGTTCCGACTTGTTGCCGCGTGGAGGGAGGGGGGGGAGCCACACGTGCCACGGAGGTTACTTTCCCTGCGTATGACACAGGGCGCTGCAGTTGCACCGCGGGTTGCAACCCGTTGCATGGCAGCCCACTTTTCAAACAGGTCCTGCTAAAAACGGCGGCGGGTGTCCTTCGGGGCCGCGTTGGGCGCGGAGCGAGGCGGAGACGGCTTGCCGGGGATTTCGGCTTTCGGAGCGCTCGGCTCGCCGGCCGGCGCCGCGCCGCTCGCCGAAGGGTCACCCTCCGGACGTTCTATTCTCAGTGCCTGGCAAATCTGGCCAGTTTGGAGTTTGGACTCCCCACTCCCCACTCCGCGGCAAAGCCGTGGCGCCGCAAACTACACTCGCAACGTTCTCCACGTGGAGGCGGCCAGGCGAAGCCAGGCGGCGGTGAACTCCGTTCGACCCGCGGACAATTCCAAGCGCGCCTCCCCTACTGCATGCACGCGCACGCGTGCTCTCTCTGTCGCTCTCACACACGCACTCGCAGGGCGCCCTCTCTCCCTCACCCGCCCACGTACTCCACGCGCGCGCACACACGCCAAAATGTGCTCCACGCGCGGCAGTGCGGCATCATGGCCCGGTCACATTGACCTGACCGCACACGCGCCTCGGCGCCTCGCAAAAGGCATGCTTGTCCGTCAGCCCCCCCCCCCCCTCCGCCCGCCGGATTGAACCCGTGTTGTGTCCGGACACGTACTCGGTACCAGGCGGCGCGGCGCTGGCCGTGCTGGCCGACGCGTGCCATAGTGTGTTACTGGGGGACGTCTGCCGCCGGGCCGCCCATGGCCTGGCCCCCGTCCTCCGCTCGGAGACAGACACCGACGGAGACGGACACGCGCGGGCCCTCGGTCCAGTTTATTACACGTGGCCAGCCAGACATCCCCACCCCCCTTCCCCTGGGGGGCGCCCACGGCGGTGTCTCGCGGCTGGAGTTTGGCTTGCGTGCCGCCGGGGGCCCGGACGGCCCGGAGCCTGGAACCACTGCCGCTATGGAAGTTTTCCTTGTTCGCCGGCGACATGAGGCCAACTTCTCACGCCGTCTCTCTCGCACTCACTGCGCGTCCGGTGCGGCGCGAGAGAGACAGAGCGACGAGGCGGCGCGCGCGGAATTGGTCTGCAGGTCCTCGGCACGTGGAGTTGGGCTCGGAGGAGGAATGACCGTTTTGGGCGACTGTACGGTCCTGCCCCGCCAGCCCCGCCACGTGCCGATAACGCTGGGCGTGGCCGCGTCACCGCGTCGCTTCATCGCGGCAAGGGTTGAAGGGCTTGTTGTCATGTCCGAGTCCCCCAGCAGGCCGAGTAGGCCCGGCCCACGTGTGCGAGGCAGGCCGGGGCAGGCCGGGCGGGCAGACACGCGGCGCCGCGGCGTCCACGCTCAGGAGGGTGCGGCCCGCCAAGCCGTATCACAGTGACCAACATTCCTCGGTGAGCAGGCGCTTCTTTCCTGCGACCCAGTGAGGCGAGTGTCCACTGCACTGCATGCTTCTTCCGCGAGCCGCGCCCGCCACTCGTGATCCCTTCGGGGAAGCGCCAGACAAGGCGTCGTTCAACTCACTCTATTTCAGACCAGGAAGGTCTCCCGAGCCGCGAGGTGAAGTTGTCCGATGAGGGCAGAAGCAGGGCGCGCGTCGACATGTTCGATTTGAGACTCGCTGCGCGCTGCGCTCTCCGGACCGTGAAAGGGGGCATGACGGCGAAATACCCGCGCGTGGCGGGGCGGGGCGGGGCGGGGCGGGGCGGCTAGGGCGGGACCACAGGCCGACCGGTCGTATTGGGGCCGGGCCCAGGCCGGGCCGGCCAGGGTCATACACGTGTACTCCGGAGGCGCCAAGCGCGCCAAGCCAAGCGTCGAGCGGACCGGGAGGCCGCACGCCGCCGAATGGCACAATCTCAATTAGATGCCGCTTCTTATTGGTCTCTTTGGGAGTCTGGAGTCGCGATGAAGAACCGCGCGCGGCGCCACTGTTTTTGTCTTGTTTTTCTCGGATTCAAATTCACTGAACACGATCTCTGAACCGTGCCGCTACTAATACATATCTCATTGAGAATCAGAAATAAAGTCGGGAACAAGTCGTCTTTCGACGATCCGCACGCGGCGAAACACAGTGTCCTGGTGTTCCAGGGCCACCCTGGAAAAAGGGGGCCGTTTCTACAGGGTGGGCCTGGAGCATCCGGACTCTGTTTTTGCCGTGACCGCTGGACAATCTCACCGCACACACTGAGACGCCGACACAGAGGCCCCGCTGTCTGCTGCCTCCGACGCTCTGTCGCGACGGACTCGGACAGACTCGGCTCGGCGGCGAGGCTGGGTTGGCTGGGTTGGCTGGCTTGGCTGGGCGAGGCGCGCCGGCCGGCGACGGCGAGGTCGCCGCACTGCGTTTGGCTAGTCTGGCTACGCGCGTCTCTACGCGTGTCGCGTGGCTGCCGGCGGCTGCGCGGCTACGCGTTTGCCCATCCTCTAAGTGGGGCCTCCAATAAGAGGAAAGGTCAAGGTGCCCGCGACCAATCGCCCGGCCCGTCTGTGCCCGTCTGCGTATGACTGAGTCAGTGAGTGTGACGGCGACGGAGTCGGGACGGAGTCGGGGCGCCCCCTTACTGTACGTACTTCCGTGTGACCGGCGAGATCCGGCCAAATCCAGACGAGGGTTAGGTTGTGTTGAGTTAGGTTAGGTTCTGTTGGGTTAGGTTAGGTTAGGTTACGTTAGCTTAAGGTAGGTTTAAAAAAATGCTCTCGGGGGGGAAAAATGCTCTTTGCAGACAAATTCCTGCAGTCTCCTGGGTCTGAGGTTGTTTGTTATGTCGCGTTGAGTTAGCTGTGGCTCCTGGCAACGACAAACGTGCCTCAAAAATAAATGCTCAAAAAAAAAGATACTTGAACCGATGTGCTTGTGCCGCCCCCCGGCGCGTGGACCCGACGGCTTAAAACCCTCGCAACGACACTCTGATAGCAAGGTGTTTGTTTCCGTCCCGGGCGGAGACACCTCATCGGAGATACCCTATCACTGTGCTGCATCTGCAACTGCGCCCTGGCCGGGCCGCGCCCGGCGGGTAGGCAGTCCCGGGTGCAGCCCCGTCCCCGGGACTGCCTACCTTCGGGTTCTAATCGGGGACCTCCGGACTTCCGGGCACGGAACTGCAAGGCCGGAACGACGTTACCGGGTGAAACTTGACACTCGAAACAGTTGCCTCGTGGAGGCGATTCGGCCCGGGCGGGCGTGGCGTGGGTAGGAGTGTGAGGGCGAGAGGGTCCGGCTAGTGCGAAAGCACGAGAGGACGAAACGAATCAAGTGGACCGGCGGTGGCAAATTTGAGAAGCGGCCCGGCGAACTGGGTCAAGCAAGGCAGGCGAAGGCAGGGCAAGGCACGAGCAGGCCGTCGTGCGGCGAGCGCGGGGGGCTCACTCCGAACTCTCTGTCTCTCTCGCGCCAGTGCGCAAGCCCCCCGAGTGCGAGAGAGACAGAGCGACGAAAGCCCCGTCGAGCCTGCCGCTTTCACTGCAGCGCGGATGCACCGCGACCTTGGCAAGGCCGGCAAGGCCCTGCGCGCGGTCGCCCGGTCGCCCCGTGCGAGTGCCGAATGTTTTCCGGGAGCGGGCTGCGCGGGGGCTGGGGCAGGCTGGGGCAGGCTTGGGCAGGCCGGGGCAGGCCGGCCGGCCGTCCCAGGGGGGAGGGGGCCAGGAGAGGGACATAAAACCACCGGCCGGAGGCCAGGCCACTTATAGTCCGGCCGCGGCGCGCTCCACGCCCCTCTCCGCGACGCTAAGCAGGTGGGTGCTCGTATCAGCATCGGACGGGGCATCGCGGCACCGCGGCACCGCCTCGCCGACCGCACCGCCCGGGCACCGCCAGTGGCAGTCACACTTTGGCCGGTGTTGGACACACTGTTGGAGCCGCTAGCCCGCGGTAGGCCCGCGCGTTCGCCACCGCCGCGTCCGCGAGTCCGCGCCCCAGTCTCCCCGGAAGGCACGCACCCTCAAGATGACGGCCTCCGGCACCTCCGTGACGGCGTGCCTGCTGCTGCTGCTGGCCGCGGCCTCCGCCAACAGCCCCTGCCCGACGTGCGACCCCCTGGCGCCGCGGTGAGTGCTCCAACCCACCACTGCTACGCCCCCTCCGGGACCCGCCCCCTAAACGCCGTGACGGCTCCCGCAGTCATTCCGGGAATTCCTTCGGCTTACTTCTGTGCGTCTGGACAGTCACTAGAGCTGCACTGCGCGCTTGTTATCAATTCAAACAAATGCGAGACATTGGAGACAGTCCTGAAGGACGCACCGATAGTCCATCCAAACTTGGCGGGAACATCGCGACGAGTCTTTTTTCCGGTACGTGTTTGTGCGTCGACCTAGATTTTGGCGCGAAATGCTGACGGCTGACATGCGCAGGCCGCGCTACGACGGGCCGGCAGGCCGGCGTGACGTAGGTAGGGCCAGCCGGCCAGCCGGCCAGCGTGGGGCAGAGCCTAGGCCAGCCGGCCAGCCGCACAGTGGGCCAGCCCAGCTGGTGGCGAGGCGAGAGCGGAGCGGAGCGTGCGGCGACCGGCGCGGCGCGGCCAGCGCGGGGCGGGCCGATGCCAACTCTATCAGCTGGTCGCCGCTAGCGCCGCTCCGCTAGTCGCGCGTGCCGCCCCGCCGCCCGCCCCCCACCTACACATTACGTGAAGGTGCATTCACACAGGCCGCGTGGCCGCGTCACACACGCACACGCACACACGCACACACACTCGCGCACACGTGGGCTCGTTCGTAACGCGGCGGTCAGAAGACGCCGCGACAGGGTCATTTCTTTTGCGGACTGATTCCAAGTCTCTCCCTCTCGTGTGAGGTAGAAAATAGAGAGAGACTGACGGAACGCTCTATGGCCGATTTCACCAGAGGTGGCAGCAGTGAAACAAAAGACAGTCGGTCCACAACAAACAGACGACTACTGTAACGCGCACAAATGACCGTTAAAGAGGCCATTTTGTGCGCGTTTGTCGTCTGTTTGTTGTGGACCGACTGTCTTTTGTTTCACTGCTGCCCCACCTCTGGTGAAATCGGCCGTACTCGGAATGAGCATAGGACAGGACTGCAGTGGCGCACCTCAGCGAACGGCAAATCGTGTTGTCTATTATTTGTTATCGATTTTGACGGCGTGCGCTCGGCGCTCGCTCGACACTGTCGCGGCCGAAACGCCTTTCGGCGAAACACGGTCGCCTGCTCGCCCCGCGGGTGGCGCCACGTGCGTATTCCGGTTCCTGTCGGACGCCTCCGTGCCGCGTGTCGTCGCTCCGTCTCTCTCGCACCCGCTGCGTCGCCGCGGCTCGCCCCAACGAGTGCGAGAGAGACGGCGCGACGAAAGCTGCGCTCGGAAGCAGCCTGCTCGGAAGAAAAATTGAGACGCGTAAAGTGACCAAACGAGTGTGCCTTCCTGCTCGCCGGCACACTGCCTTGGCAGTGGAGGGGGCGTGACGCGCGTGACGCACGCAACGCACGCGTGCTGGCGGCATATGGAAATCCAATCAGTCTCTAGTTTTTATTTTCCCCCGTTTTTGTTTTGTTGTTCAGAGAGGCCAAACACCTCTGGCAGGTGGAGAGCAAGAACGGGCTGCTCAACGGCGAGCTGGTCAAGGGAGCGGACAGCATTGAGTACTACTCCTTCAAGGGCATTCCCTACGCCAAGGCGCCCCTGGGGGAGCTCCGATTCAGAGTAAGTGCGAGGCGGAGTGCCTGGCGTGCGGAAATTTCCCCGCGAGCTTGACGCCAACCCTGCCCTTCCCGCAGAACCCCCAGCCCGCCGAGCCCTGGCACGGCTCGGTGCGCCCCGCGCTCGCCGAGGGCTCCAAGTGCGTCCAGATCGCCGTGCCCTCCATGCAGCCCGAGGGCGCCGAGGACTGCCTGTTCCTGAACGTGTACAGCCGCTGGCTGGGCCCCGCCAAGCTGCCCGTCATGGTGTACATCCACGGCGGGGGCTTCGTCTACGGCTCTGGCACACTGGCCGAGAACGGCCCCGAGTTCCTCATCTACCACGACGTGGTGCTGGTCACCCTCAACTACCGGCTGGGCGCGTTCGGTAAGATGATACTGGTAAAAACAATCTTCCAAGCTGCCGGACAAATCTTTTGAACAACGGCCATTCCGCTTTCAGGCTTCCTGAACCTGGACAACGACGACATCCCCGGCAACATGGGGCTCAAGGACCAGGTCCTGGCCCTCAAGTGGGTGCAGGAGAACATCGCGGCGTTCGGCGGCGACCCCAGCAAGGTCACCATCTTCGGCAACTCGGCTGGGGCGGTGTCGGTGCACTACCACACCCTGAGCAGGGCCAGCCAAGGTGGGCGCCGGGGACACACCTCTTCATCAACGCGAGCAAACCCCTTTCGGAGCCCACTTTCATTGATCGTCTTGTCTGCCAGGCCTGTTCCGGGCCGCCATCATGCAGAGCGGCAACGCGCTGGCGAACTTCGGCTACCAAGAGACGCACCTCGACATGGCCAAGCGGCTCAGCGAGCAGCTGGGCGAGAAGGCCGCCGGCAGCGACAAGGCCAAGATAGCGGAGACTCTGCGGAGGGCCTCCAGCAAGGAGATCCTCAACGCCAACCTCGCCATGATCCAGGCCGACGTAAGTGCGCGGCGTCGCTCTGTCTCACTCGCACCCCGACGGGGCGCCCCGTGAGTGACTCAGCCTCACCATTCACGTTGCAGCCGCAGCTGCAGCTGGGCCTCCCCGCCTTCTGCCCGAGCCCCGAGCGGCGCGCGGCCGGCGCGCAGAGCAAGTTCCTGACCCGCGACCCCGAGAGCTTGGTGCGCGTCCCCGAGGTGGCGGCCGTGCCCACCATCGCGGGCCTCAGCGGCAACGAGGGCCACTTCGCGTTCGCGTTCGGCGGCCTGGCGGGCAAGCCGGAGGTGGTGGCCGCCCTCAAGCAGAACCCCGCGCTCCTGCTGCCCACCAACCTCACCCCGTTCCCGGACACCGTCAAGGTGCTGGGCCTCAACGGCAAGCCCGCTCTGTCCGCGGAGCAGGCCGCGCGGGTCGGCCAGGACCTCAAGGACGAGTACAAGCTGGACGGTGACAACGCGGGCTTCATCCAGGTAAAGCTCGAGCCCGGTTCGGCGGCAAAGTCCAGGGGGCGTCAGTCACTGACTCCGTTCTTGCTGCAGTTCTACGGCGACCTGTTCACCGCCATGCCCACGCACCGCCTCGTCAACCTGTCGCTGGCGCACCACGGCCCCGAGGCGCCCCTGTTCCTCTACCACTTCCTGGAGGACGGCGACTACAACTGGGGCAAGGTGTCCTTCGGCGTCAGCAGCAAGGGTCAGTACGCAAGGCTGTCCCCGCGCGGGGACAAAAATTAAACAATGCTGTTGGAGGAATTCATTTGGTTTGACTTTGTCGGTGCAGAGGCGACGCACACGGACGAGCTGGGCTACCTGATGCGCATCACCTCGCCGGCGACCTTCCCGACGCAGACACTGTTCGACCAGAACGCCGCGTCCAGCCGGACGCTCTGCAGCCTCACCAAGCTGTGGACCAACTTCGCCAAGTAAGCCTCTGCTTGCCCCGCTTTGCCGCCAGTCACTGCAGCACTGTAACTAAACGGAGACTTGCTTCCCCCCGCCTTGCAGAGTCAGCAACCCCCTGCTGGAGGGCTGGGAGCCCGCCGACGCGCGGGCCGCCGCGCTGGCCGCGCCCTACGCCAAGCTCAGCGCCGACACCCTGGGCCGCCTGGGCGAGGGGCTGGGCGGCAAGGCCATGGCGCTCTGGGACCGCGTCTTCGCCTTGACGAGGACCAACAGCAACTGACCGAGTGGGGCGTCCTCTGCGGTCTGCGTGTGCAGCCCCAGGGCAGCCCCTGCAGAGACCCGAGTGATCGCTGTGCAGTATTCTTCTCGCGGTTACCCAGCCTGGCTGAACCCCTGTTCAGCACGGCACTGTCGCAAGCAGCAGAGAAACAAAATCCAAAAAAAATATAAAAGTTGGACTCCAACGAGTCTAGTCAAGCGGAGTATAGGATTTCCTATCCCTATCTTGGGGGAGCTTGACTATAATGGACTATACTGAGAAATTCGATGTGTGTTTCATCGAGGGGTGCATTGTGGGTCCGCTAAAAAAACAAAGGTGAAAACTTTAAAACGTTTCTTTCCATTTAAAAAAAAACGGAAAAAAATCGGAAAGCTTATTTGGCTTTTGAAGAATGAATGTAACACAAGCCTTTCTGTTTACCGTTTGATCTCAAATGCGGGTATTTTACTCACGTAGGAGAGCGTGGGGATAAAGCGTGCTGAATTGTGTAGTCTAGTGAATGTCCCCCTTTCGGAGGTATTCTGTGCATGACAAACATTTTCAGACTCCAAAATTTAGTCGTGAAAAATACTGAGCGATGGGGTGGGGGAGAGGTGTCCGCACCCCTGAAGCTTACGTGTGATGTCTATTTGTACCTGTTGTATTATAATATAATGTTTGAACGTAATTTTAGCCTAATAAATATTGATTGTTGCATTTTATACGTAATTTTGGTCCTTGACTTTCCTGTCTGCCCCACACTGTAGAGATAAAGTGCCTCTGAGTCAAAATCCCGGACGCGTTTTGAGCGCTAGAATCGCTGGGCGCGAACTGAGCGTGTGACCCCCACCAATGGATTCCTCGTTCGGAGAGGAATCCACTGGTGGGGTCACACGTTCGGTTCGAGTCTGGAGCTCAAAACGCGTCCGGGATTTGGACCGCCTCCACTGGCCTTCTGGCCCACTGTGCAGCCAGGCGCCAGGCAGTCGCAGGTCGACGTGGCCGGGGAGCGTGGACGTTAAAAGGTGGGAGATAAATGGAGCAAAACTACACGTCGGGAAGTTTGTGTGTCCTCGATCCTCGGTCCTCGGGGCGCGGGGAATCGCCCCTACGTGCCCTGGCAGTCCTGGCGGCCCTGGCCCGGTGCCTCCAGCTCCAGGGTGGCCGTGCCGGCGTGGCCTCGGCCTGCTGGCCGCCGGAACTGCCGCCGAGGCGCGGGAAAGATCGGCATAAATTGCCCGAAATAGCAAAGCGGAGAGAGAAAGAGATGGCCCGGTGGGCCTATGCCCAATGCATCGGTCCAGGAGTCAGGGCCGGGCGGCGGGGCCAGCAGACGACACTACGTGAGGGCCATGCCGATGAGGCGCCGGGGCGAACGACGAACGCGCGGCTCGCGGGCGCCACTAGCGCCACGTGGCGACGGGCCGATGCGCCATCTAGCAGCTGCCTGGCACGCTGTAAAACCACCAGCATCCGAAGCACTGCCAAAAAAGGAACCGTTTGTTGTCGTTTTTAGCAGATGACGCCTTTTTTCTGTGTGTCGATAAACGCGGCACGCCGCGTGCGAGAGGTGGCGGCGCCTTGAGTTCCCTGCCCGCCGCACGGCCGTGCACGATGGGGTGCCTACCCACGGGCGCTACCATCATTACCATTGCCACTACGGGCTAGACCACAACCAAGCACGCGCTGCCGCCCACTTACGCCCCGCTGAACCTCAAGATGGAATCCGCCGGCGGAAACGGACCCTCGTGTTATCAATTTGGCCGGGAGAGAGAGGTTCAAGCGCAAGCAGCACGAGGCATATCGGGACAAATGTATTTATTGCACGATTTCGAGGCACAGAGATACAAGCCGGAATGCGCTCTCGCTCTCGCTTCGGCGGGCTTGGCGCGGCACGCTGGCGGTGGATGTCCGGGACTCTCCTTGACGACGGCCTTGAAGGCGGCCTTGACGACGGCCTTGACGGCGGCCTTGGCAACGGCCTTGTCAGCGGCCTTGACGGCGGCCTCGACGACGGCCTCGACGGCAGTGTGGCGGTGGCCACGGCAGCGGCGGGGTTGGTTCAGGTACAAACTGGCGGCTAGGGTGGCCAGGTGGCGTGCTCCTTCCGCGTTCACCGCCGCGTGTTCTGCGCGATCCAGTCCAGATACATGCCCACGTTGGTGTAGACGCCGGGCTTCCCCGGCTCGCCGCACCGCACGCCGAACGACACGATGCCGATGTTGCACCAGCGGCCGTCGTTCATCTGCAGGAGCAACGGTCCACCGGAGTCGCCCTGGGAACGAACAAGTTGCCAGCTATGATCGGAGGTTCGCGCCCCGCCCGGTGAAGCTGTACGCCGCGAACTTTTGAACGAGCCCACCTGGCATGAGTCCCGGCCCCCGGCCTCGGTGCCGGCGCAGATCTCCGTCTCCAGGATGGGCTGGTCGAACTGGCGCTGGCAGTCCTCCTGGCTCCAGATGGGCAGCGTCACCTCCATCAGCACGTTGCTGGGCGGCCCGCCGTAGTACACCGTGCCCCACCCTGCGACATCACAACATTGCCGTTCCAAAACAATACCGCCATAAAAAATGTAAAATATTATTAAATTTAGCGTAATTTGATAGCGCGGCGGTGCACCTACTCGAGGCACTTGACGGACTCGGCGGCGGCACCCTAATGAGTCAGTCCGCGGATGAATCAGCCCCCCCCCCCCGACTCATTTAGGGCCGCTCGTTACTCGCGTATCTTATCAAAGCATCAAAGTCTGGGGCGCGACGGCGCGACGGTCTGCCGGTCTGCCACCCACACGCTGCGGCGCTGCACTGCGAACGCGAAAGCGCACGCGCCGCCCGGATTCGAACCCGGGCCCTTGGACTTACCGATGACGACGGCGAGCTGCCCCGCGAGGTCCATGTCGGGCGGCGGCAGGCAGACGGGCCACACGTAGTCCGTGAACTCGGCCTCGCCCGCCAGGTACAGGATGGCGATGTCGTCGGTGTACGCGTCCGGGTTGAAGCGCTCGTTGACCAGGATGTCCGTCACCTCGAACGTCTGCACGCGCTCGGGGACGGGCTGGCTGAGGTCGTACTCGCCGAGCCCCACCGTCAAGTCCCCGGCCTCCAAACTGCGAGGGGAAAGGAAAGGGGCGGATTCTTAAACATGGGTCCAATCCCCCCGAGCGGAAAGGCAGGCCAGCAAGGCGCATCCAAGCATGCCTCCAGGCCGCGCTCTCCCGCCTACGACGCACTTGTAAACACAGTGGGCCGCGGTGAGGATGTGGGTGGAGTCGAGCAGCACGCCGCCGCAGAACTGCTGCAGGCCGTTGCGGAGCAGGGCGGCCATCCAGGGGAACTGGCCGGGCTCGGCCTCCTGGCCGCCCTCCACCTTGGCGTTCTCGTTGCGTCGCCGCACGCGCGTCGTCCCGCACGCTGCAACAGTCAGAGGCCAGTCACGCGGTCCTTCAAAACCCCTGGCGCACCCGGGGGAGGGACAGCACAGCGCCTGGGGTGGCCGTCGCCGGCCAATCGGCGTCCCGCGCGGTCCCGCGAGCTGTCTCTCCGCCTCCGGTTTCGAACCGGCCGAATGTACTTACTGTCGCCCCCCAGGGCCTGCGAGCTCTGCGACCTGTCGACGAAACCGGGCTTCTTCATGCGGAACGGTCTGCCGGAGTCGCCCCTGGAGCCGCGGCCGCGGCCTCGGCCTCGGCCCAGGCCGGTGCGGTTCATCGGGTAGTCCCTGCTGGAGTCGTAGAGGTCCTTGTCGTCGGGGCAGCACACGCCGATGAACCTGGATGGGATTGGAGTCAGCTGATCGCTCGGTCTCTCTCGCACCCCGTGGCTCCGTAGGGGTGCGGGAGAGACAGGGCGTTAGGCTGCACTCACTTGCCCTCGATGACGCACGCGTAGTCCTTGAACCGGTCAAAGTTGTCCTTGAACTCGTCGAGCACGCAGAAGCGGACGTGGCGGCAGTGGCCCGGCTCCTTGTTGGGCGTGATGCAGCTCTGGAACGGGACGTCCTCCTCCTGCGGGCAGCGCCGTCGGCCACATCAGCAGCGCTCGTCTCCCTCGCACCCCGACGGAACGCCCCATGAGTGCGAGAGAGACAGAGCGACGAAAGCACAGAGAAAACTCACGTCGTCGTCGCCGGTGATGAGGGTGGGGTGCGGGTGTGTGGAGTCCGAACGCAGCACGGCGCGGCCTGCATGCAACAAACCACCCCAGTCAAGCGTCTAGTTCAGCGGCAAGGCGGCGGGCGAGGACGCCCCCTACCTGTCCTCGTTGAAGCTTCGGAGGAGTCCTCGTCGTCCAGGCCGGCGTGGAGCGCCGAGGCGAGCAGGACGATCAACAGCGTCGCCCGGGTGACCCGGGCCACGACGCCCAGCCCTTCTGACAGCGACGTCGTCGTCGACATGGCCATTTCGCTGCCGACGGGGTTCTGGTTCTGGCGGTGAGGGCCGACTCCATGCCGTGGCGGGCGCGGCTAGGCTGGCCCCACAATGACCTGCTGCCGAAAAGTGCCAACGACATCAAGACGGACAAGACGTCTCGCGGGGCTTGCTCGCTTCTTGCTTGCTCCAGTTTCCAGCAGCCATTGTTCTGCGATCAATGCTGAATAGGTGGTAACGCTGCTGCGCTGCCGTGCGGTCGAGTCTCGCGCGCTCCACTCGCAACCCTTTCGTTTTTCTGGGGGGCCGATTTTAATTCAGATGCAGGCTTTTAACTTTCATGGCCGTTTTTAAGGGCCCTCGTGCGGTGGAATCGGCGACTCGCGGGGAATGACAGTGCCGTTCTCAACTGCAGGCGCAGTCAATGGAGTGTGTGTGAGAGAGACAGGCAGGCGGCCCGTTCCGTTCGGCCCGTTCGCGACGGCGGCGGCGTATCTCGAGGGTGACGTCACTTTCCCCCACGAGGCGTGCGTCAGGCCGTCAGGCTGACACCGGACAGCGATTTGAGTTGGGCAAACGTCGTTATTCCGCCTTGGCTGTGCATCACACTCCGAATCCTCCGAATGTTGCCATGTCCATGAGGTCATCACATCCGCACCGCGCCGCGCGACGCCGGTATTCGAGGTCCCTCCCCCACCCCTCCCCCCCTCTTTCCGCCCCACTCCTTCACCTCTGCCAAACATTCGAACAGATTTGCGAGGGGGAGCGACATTCATGTAAGGGCGCGTGTCCTGAAGCTAAGCTGGATGAGCAACAGGAAAAGTTGTACGAATGTATGCAAGAAAATGGACATTCCATTAGTGGGATGGGGTGGGAGGTGGGTGGCGATGCCGGCGTGGTGGGGGAAGCGTGATATTCTTGAACCAACCAGTGGTCACATTTTGCGCGACTGTACCCGAAGCAGCACTTTCACAGCCAGAATACACGGAAACCTGCGCGTTAAAAGGGTAGGGACAGCATTAAATAATTCTAAAACTCAGCCTTGAATCGCTGAAGCGGGTATTTTGCATTAGTTAACGACCGTAAAGTCTAAAATGCGGAGCCGGCAACTTCTCCGAAAAGCGTTTTCGGTTTGGATGATTCAGGGCATTCCTTCACTTTCCGTGGCATTTCTTTCTTTAAATTGAAACCAAAGTCGGTTGAAAAGTTGACGGCCACTCTGGGCTGTCAAAATAGGACAGTATCTTTGACCACGGTTATTCTTATTCCGACGCCCCAGCCTTGAACGCGCCGCGCTCGGCTCGGAGAAGGCGAGTCGGAGACGGAGAAGGCACCCTAAGCTCTAAGATTGAGGTGTGGCCTGTAGCCTGTATCGGCAGCCATTGTGTTCGGTGACGAGTCTGAGTGTTAATCAGAGGTAAATACTTGGCATATCGTCCACTCTTCCCTTCCTTGTTTTAGTTAGCGACCGCACAACTGCTCGGGTAAGGTTTGTGGCAACAAGCAGAATGTTTTGGTGCAAAAATTTCCGATATAAGAGCTGATGAGCCGGGAATATCATGCGTCTTGGGACTTCCGGTTGCCAGATCAGGCTTACGGTGTTCTGTTTACCTATTTCGGTTTGTGCTGTGTTGAAAGTAGTGTTAATTCCACGTTAAGAAGACTTTGTGAGTATTTTTGGTCCTTCAGACCGCCTCTTGTAAACATTCCTACTGTAAATGGTTTGCCAAGTGACTGGTGTTGGTTATCTAGGCTGGAAACCTGGTAGCCTGCCTAGGCTACGGTAGTCGTTTTGGTTACGCCGTGTCACTCATTTCACCCACTACTCATTTGTAAAATTTCATTATTTCCCCTTCTCCGAAATTTTGTTGTAGCTTATTATTGCTAAGAGTATCTATCCTGCATCCAGTTGAATTGGTTTGTGTAATTTTGTTTAGGTTGGGTTAGGTCCATCACACCCAATAAGTCAAGAATTTGTGTTTCTGTATGTTTTACCACTTTACCTCTCATTTTCATCAATATTCATGTTTTTGTCCTTACTCTATTCTTCAAAACTTTTTCTTTCTTTATTTCTGATTATTGTGTGTACCTTACATGCAATTATGTAGCGACTATTCCCGTGCTTCTATTCCTAACCTTTCATTATTATTTATTAGCCTTGAGTCGCCTCCCCAGTAGGCATTCAAGTTTGGTTCTGTGAGTAGGAAGTAAATCATGTCTTCAAGGCAACCAAATTTTAAAGCATTATTTCCTTTGTATGTTATATGATTGGAAATGTCTTTTAACTGCAGCTAATTTAGATTTAGGACTAAATGTCCTACTATCAAGCTGTCCGTTCAATGTACTTTATTATTTTGTGTCACATTTTCTCGTATCATTACACTGTTCCTCTTTGGTATATATTGTTAATTTTGTGAAGAGCTTAATCTAGATTAGAATCCCAGCACTTCCCAAGAATGTGGATAAGATCAACCATATTATTAATTATACTTATCCCAATACAAGTAGCTTCAGATTAAAAGCTTTCACCTGAGGTGGGCTTAAATTGTAGTTACAAGTGTGTAATGGATTGTAGCAATGAGCTAAGTCAATTTGGCATTTGAAATAATTTGCCAAATCTTTGAAATCGTTGAATTTAAATAAGGTAAAATTTCTAGGGTCTGCTCAGATGCTTTCAATTGACTGAAAAGTACCACTTCCTTGCATTTTCTCGATGGACCATCTTGCCCGCCTTTTTGGGAATTGTGCTTCTGGAAATGCCTCTACGTCAGGTAAGACAGGTTCTCTTGTTGCATTGACACTTCACAGCTCCTGTCCTTGTATTTGCTTCACAACCATCAGTCAGGAGTTGGGTTGTTGAAGATTTACCAAGTTTGTAGTCCCTAGCACACCTTACCACGCATGCATGTATTGCAAAGGGTGCCACCGCATCACGCCTATACCTTAATTGTGTGTGCTCTGAAGTAGCCATGATGGAAGAAAACTTGTTTTCAGATCTTTGGGTCTTGACATTTAAGTCTACTGTAGGTCTCTGTGAACTTAATCTTCAATTAAAATATCAGTATTATGCTGCATATGAAAAGCTTTGGTTTTTGTATTGTATTGTTCAGGAGCTGGCTCCTCAGTGCTGGCCATGTCATACAGGGGCAAAAGATAATGTCTTAAGGTCCATTGTTTGCTTTTCAAAGTTACCTGTTCTTTTTCAATGATGTGCGTGATGAGTCTTTTACTCCTCTTCATAAAAATGTCTGGTGTTCATTTTTCTTTTCTTACATATTTCTATCTAATTTCATCCTCATATACATCTACAAATAATTGAATTTAGTTTTAAATGGTTTGAAAATTGTAAGGGGCAAAGGTGTAATCTTGTGGATTCATATTGTGAAATTTTGCTTCCCCTCTCCTGGTAGATTAGTGGGGTAGATCTTGGCCAGAATGCACGTTGTATTTTGTACTATGTGTGACAGTCATCCATATATTAAATGTCAAATTGAGTGTTGTAGCAATAGATAGTGTGCATAGCCCTTGAATTAAAGTTGGAGCAGTACCATCAAAGTTTATTTTGTTTGAGTGTGACTTAGGATTAATATACTCTGAAATTGTCAATTACAATTATGTTTGATCAGGAATTCAGTATGTACTTTGGCTTCTTGATGTGGACACTTCTTTAAATTACTGTCTTTAGTGTCGGTTTCCCGGGATGCTTCCACATTATGTTCCTGCACCTCTCTAATACAAGTCATTGAAGCTGCATCTCTAGCCTGTTATAAAATAATTGGTTCAGTTCGCTCCTCTTCAGTCTTACTAACATGCAACCCATTGCTTGAACTGTGAAGAGAATGTAAACAATTTATGATGCACTGTCAATCCTTTGTTTATATATTATGCTGTGTAGTGCCTTTGAAGTGTACCTTACATGTCATGCAGGATGATTGAGTTATGGCCATGGTTTTTTTTTCTTTTGCCTTGTTTTAGTAGTTTTTTATACATGTTTGTACCACAAGTTCTGTTACACAGAACATCTATCACAAATCAATCACAGTAAAAAAAAAAAATAGATCTGTGCAATGTTTTTGTGCACTGTTTCATTAATTCATAGTACCTCATGATGTCTCTTATTACTTTTTTTTAACATGTGCATTGCAGTGAAATCTTTGAATGACTGCTTCCACATGATTTAGTTGTGAGGGATGGCAATGCCATGTGTTCCAGGGTTCTAGTAGCTACAATATGTAATTTCCTTCCAATTTGTTGTCTGTACAAGCAAAATTTTTGAAATTCAGTTAAATTTATATCGTCAGTTTCTACCAAGCATCTACACAACTTTATTTAAACCACTGATTTATTTTGTTCTTCTTTGTTCCAGAATTCATGGCAGCCATTAGGAAGAAATTGGTTATAGTAGGTGATGGTGCCTGTGGTAAGACATGTCTTCTCATAGTATTCAGCAAGGACCAGTTCCCTGAGGTCTACGTACCAACTGTATTTGAAAACTATGTCGCCGACATTGAAGTGGATGGGAAACAGGTAAATCAGTTGCCTGGCACTGTTGTTTCTTACTCTTGTAAGCTATTGTTGAAATCTGACTTTAATCGATGTTTTTATCTGAATCAGGTGGAGCTGGCCCTTTGGGATACAGCTGGTCAAGAAGATTATGACAGACTGCGACCACTTTCATATCCAGACACAGATGTCATTCTCATGTGCTTCTCCATTGATTCACCTGATTCATTAGAGAACATTCCTGAGAAATGGACACCAGAAGTGAAGCATTTCTGCCCCAATGTGCCCATTATCCTTGTTGGAAACAAAAAGGTAATTAATCGGTGATTATTCTTTTGTCCTAATGTTTTTATCTGTCAAGTTATCACAAGTTTCTATTCCCATAGGATTTGAGGAATGACCCTAACACAATAAAAGAGCTAGGAAAAATGAAGCAAGAGCCTGTGAAGCCAGAGGAAGGTCGTAACATGGCTGAAAAGATCAATGCGTTTGCTTACTTGGAATGCTCTGCCAAGAGCAAGGAGGGTGTTCGTGAAGTATTTGAGACTGCAACTAGAGCTGCTCTTCAGGTTAGTGTACATAAGTACTGCCAGTAAAAGATGCACTGTTCGAGATACTTATTGTATTTCTATGTGTTTTAGGTTAAGAAGAAGAAGAAGGGACGGTGTAGGCTGTTGTAAGGCACTTCATTTTTCCTCCTCTTAAACAATACGAGAGAAGAGTAGGCCATGCGATTGCCAATAGCCTGCCCTGCTGTCTGCTGTGCGGCTTGCTCTTGTTGAGCATACTTCCTGCCCGAAGGTTTGAGGCAGCCAATGTATGGAGTTCAAGCAGTTGCAACCAGACATACATAACATCATCATAAATTCTTTTGATTTGTATATTATTATTATTATTATTATTGATTTTTATTCTAAAGCTCCAAGAATCAATTTGAAGCTTCATCTATAGTTTAGTCAATGATTCATCGGAAAGAGACCCTGATATTTGTTAAATATCACATAGCAATTAATTTCATCTGTATTGTATGAAAAAAGTTAGGTTAGACAGAAAAATTGAACAAAATTGTTAACTTTTAGCAGCCCCATGTTTGTTTAGCTGCTGTGATGGACTGCTATTTGTCTGGTAGGTGCTGTATATCTGAGTTTTTAATTTTGCCTTGTTTGTCAGAAAAGCTTACTTTGCGGTTAACAGTATGATAACTATGAGTAAATGGTTTTACATTTGTTTGTACTCTAATTGTAATTAAAACAAATATTTATATTTAAAGTTTATCATTTTCCTATGACTCATTAGTGGACTTGTCTCTACCAACTGAGTGTTAGTATTGATGATTCACAATTATTCAGTGCTGACTGACTGTCACCTTCTTAGCCTCTCGCCCATAAGGGATCTTTTCCTCCTCTTTTTGGATCAGTTTTCTCATGAAATTACCTAAAATTGCAGGCAAGGTTCTAGTTATTAGTCACATCAGTTTTATGGACATGGAACTTCATGGTTCAAAGAGCTCCTTTCATGAATATGTAAGAAAGATCGTATAAATTATTTGAACACCAGTTTCTTTTCTATTGGCAGTATTGATGGATGTTGGAAAACTGCGCCATTGAAACTTTCATGAAGAACTTGTTTGACAGCCAGAAGTTAAAGAATTGCTTGCCGATTTATTTTTGTATTTAAAATAATTGAGTCAAGTGTCTGTGTTCTGAATGTTTTTAATTTTTATACTGTATATATTCAGAAGTTTCCTTATTTTATTATTGAACATGATGAAAAGGCCAACTGGTGTGGCATTGAGTAATTCTGTTTTGTGTGAATTCAACTGTGTCTATGCTCTTAATTCAAAGTTCTGTGTCAACTGCAAAGCACAATTTATTCCGCTTGAAGTAATGCTTTTTCTTTTTTTACAATGATATACAATTACAAACTTTCAATGATACAATTTTGCGACCTGTGTACGCAGATGTCGACCACTGTACATAAATTGTTTTACCTTCCAAAGTAATTATTCAAGAGAATTTCTTGTGGGAGATCACCTCTTATTTATAACCTTCAACTGTCTTGTCATGTAACTTTTTATATTTATTCATGTGGAGACACTCGCCCATATTTGCTTTGGTCCATGTAGTATTGTGGTAAGGGAGTAAGGTGCAGTATCTTTGAAACTATTAGCTATGTGTTTTTAACTGCACGGTGTAGCAGTGAGACTTGCAGCTATTACTATTTGGTATGACTTCATCAAATAAATTGGGAATTTTGTACATGAAAATTTTCTAAACCTTGAGTTTTTATTGTTTGGGTTTCAAATGCTCAAATCAATCAGTGAAGTGCCCCCTAAACCATGAAAGTCAATAAGAAAATTGAAATGACTCTTAGGTTTTCCTACATTTAGAACTAAATTGATTAATTAGAGTGTGTTTTGAAAATATTTTTGATGTTTTCTTTTTCTATTCTAACTCACACTGTATTCGAGTTATGAAGGGAAAGTCTGAACTAACAGCTTTAAAAAGCTGTAGCTCTGCTGCAGCGACACAATTATGGACTCAAATCTTTTCTTTGCGTGGAAGCACCATGTACTGGAAGGGCTTGTTAGTTACATGCCCCTCGTTTTAGTAGCAAGATAGACTGTATCAGTTAAGACATGAGACATCATGAAAAAAGTTCTATGTCTTTTCTTCCCCTTTTCAAACAAGTCTTCTGTGTTTTGCTCTCCCTCCTTCTAAATATTATTGCAATTATAGGTATGGAGTTACTACAGAAAGTCTTTCAGCTGTATGGTATTGTACCAAAAACTTCAAATAATTCTTTGTCTTTGTAGGCAAATTCAATCAATGAAAGTCTTCTAAGGTCCAACCTTATTTTGGAAAAGGTCAAAAAGAATGTGCTGCTTTCTCATTGGGCTACCCCTGTGTTCAAATACATGTTTTATAAACATCGAGTTATTTGCTGTTCTGCAATTGTGCCAAGACAGGGAAACATCGGTGCTTTGAGAATGAAGGTTGAAGGTACAGCAACATGTTGTTGGACTCTTCAAGGATTTTTCAAAATAAAGATGAAATAATTTCTAAATGTTTGTTGCTTTCTTTGGTCATTCAGTAGGTAGACCCCCCCATCCCTTTGATTCCTCATTCTAATGCTACATCACATACACCAATGATGTTGGTTGATTGGAAACAAATTGAAAACATAAGAACATGTACATGAAGTTAAAATTTATTATTGCACTTGAATAAAGCGATGAAAAAAGAATACATCTGACAAAGTTCATGACTTCTACAGGGGGATCCATGATCCACTCTCGTATGCATGACCATGGTCATGGGACATAGGTGATTGATTTCATTTCTTGTACCACAAAAGATACACATCCAGAAAAAAATAATTCAAAATTTAAATAAGTATCTTTGTTTCTACACCTATATAAAAACTATATACATTTTCAGGTCATAAGAAAATAGCCCATTGTTAAATATCTATACACTAATAATTGCTCAAATTCCCTTCCCCTAAAAAGAGTAACAGAGCATCTGTATTTAAAAGTAAAACCCTTTGCAAAACCTAGATCCACATTTGCATCTTTTGGCTTTTTTACGTTTTGGCTTGTTTGGGTCTGAAGGATCATTGTTCATGTTGTCAATTCCTCTAAACCGCGGATCTTGGTCGCCTGAAAGTAATTTATGAAGGGTTCAAAATTTGAAACACGGAGACACTTTGCAAAACAGTGAAAGTAATGGTTTGTACCTTGATAGTTAAATGTTATTTCTTCTCCTTTTTTAATGGATCTCTTTGCAAAAAGTGCTAAGAGAGGTATTGCTGGGTCATTGGTTTCTATCCACACTCCTGCCACATGAGCATTGGGATTGCACTGTAAAAGATAAAATGGGGTGTGAAGGAAGCTATGTTGATGCTGTACATGAACACAACAGAAATTATTTAATATATGAAAAAGGCATACGCTGTGATTGATGAAGTGGGACTCATTGCCACACTTCATGGCATCAATGGTGAAAATGGGGGCCTCTTCTGGGTCCATCATATCCAGATCAAAGAGGTATGACAATCCAGTTTTCTCTGAAACAGAGGATATTGCAAGAAATTTTAAGAACTGGACTTTCTGGAACATGCGTGGAAATATTAGGATAATCTCACCATAGTTGACATCACGAGCAGCAGCTTCCTCACTGGTAATGATTTCTCCCAAATAAGTGGTAAGAAAAGCTCCCCTCTCAATGCGCTCACCAGCCTTAAGACCCCAACCTCTTCCATTTGCGGTCCGAAAAATGGTCAATTTGACCTGAAAGTTGATGTCACATATAGGTCTAGTGTCAGTGTAGACAAACCATATTACCAATCTAAAAGAAATATTTTTGGTGTCGTACTTTTCTACCTCTTTGCACTACTCTGTTTGGACAATCAGGTCCACATGAGCAAAATCTGTTACATTCAAAAATTCCACTTCGAGGAGAAACAATGAGACGACTGAGAGCTGAGTAGGCCCAATCAACTCCAGCCATATTCGGACAACAAGTTTCGTGAGTCCCACATTCTTCAGTACACTCACAGCCAGCGACCTGGCCAATAAGCATACAGCTATTAACCCCTGGGCCGGTCTGAAATTGAACGAGACTAAAAATAACATTTGAACATACAATGAAAATTTTTCATAAATTAATGACAATTACTACTCACAATATTTTGAGTGATATACATGAAGTCTTTTGGTGGGCCTTCCAGATCCACCTGATTTTCAACACTTAGCCCACCAGGTCCTACACTGTTCAAATTGTCTTCCCACAGCTGTAAGGTGCATGTAAGTATTTAATAAATTAAAATGAAAATATCTGATGCTATACAAGGCATATTAAAGGACCTTCATAAGCTCCAGTTGCTCTTTGCGGACTTCTTTCATCCGTAACAGTGCACAGTGGTTCTTGATGCAATCAACCATTTCCTCTCGACTTTTGAGACATTTGGTATGGACTGCATCATTAAGCATCTTTGAGAGAGTCGACACTGCCAATCCCTTTTGATTAAAGCCACCACTTAATTTTTTCAAATAAAGTGCTTTAGGAGTGTTTCGCACCCATTGCTCTATGATAGATCTATATGTGGTTGCCAGAAGGGTTTTGCAGCTTGGAAGTGGTCTCCTGGATAATGCAGGTACACACACATAACTTAACAGTCATAAAAATAAATAAATAAAAAAAAAAACCAAACAGTAACGCACCATTTGACAAACAGGATATCTAAAATAAACTTTTTCATGAAATCATTTAACTTTTCATGACAGTTTAAATTTTTAAGAGGCTCCCAAGTGTTGGATTGACTCCCCCAGCCCAGCCATTTTACAAAAAACTGATCTGCACCATCCTGGAAAGAAAAGACATGGTATAAAGGAACTGACAAAGTCCTAGATTGGACAGCAACAATGATATGACGTTTACTTGCTTTGTCAAAGCGGTGATCCACAACTTTCTGGACTTCATACTCTCCATGTTCATCAGCTCCTTTCCAACGTGGCACTCTTTTTTTGATACCTAAGTCCTCTTTAGAATATTCAGAACCATCTTCAGTCCCGAAGCCGCTATCATCACTTGAGGTATTGGGAAACACTTGCAGATAAGGCTAAAAGCAAAAATTACAGGCAAAACAAGCTTCAACTGTGGGCTAATTTCAACATGGAAATGAAAATGACTTACAGGACTCGTAAAACTGTCGCATCTCTTTCTCTTGAAAGAATTATTGATTCTAATATCTTTTCCTTCAAAGTGGAAAATCCCAGAAACCTTCAAGGAATACAAACACAATGTGGTAAATAAATATTCATACATGACATCAAGAAATACGCTGCATCTGAATAACTGACTTTGCCATCGTTGTCGGCTGTGTTTTCCTCGCTTGCAAATAGAATGTCACAGACATGTTGTGGAAGCTTCGGAAGAATCACTGTTGGCACTGCAGTAGCAAGCACAGGCTCCATGATAAACTTAACCTGTAACAAAGGCAAAGACTGAATGACAACAATCTATTATAGGCTTTAAATTAGATGAAAGAGTGATGCAGGGAATGAATCAGAGAACTTGTCCATTGACGTGAGAGCATATTAAGACTTACGATTACAAGAAGATAAAAAAAATAAGGTAAAAAAAGTTTATCATGAATTACAAGAATCAAGGTTTAAAATATGAAATGGGTGTAACGGACTAGAAACTGGATCAATGAACATAGTGACGTGTATGACAGCCGACTGACATTCATTTGATTGAAGTACAATACAAGGCAAGACCAAATATGAGTATAATTAATATAAGGGCACAACATTTACTGATTACCTTGGAGAAAAGGAACTTACAAATCAAAATAAACAGACATCAAACGCCGAATTTATTATCATAGCAGCAGCAGGCTACACGGCCGGTTTACCTCCAAAATTTCAAATGGAGGGAACGGTTACTGGACTCGATGTGTCGACGCGACGCGTCGTCCGCTTTGACCAACTTGTGACCCGAAACCGCCCACAACTCATTTCACGGCAAAAATTGGCTTTAGAATTTAGAGGTGCCGGAAACGGCCGCGGGCAGTTTATTTCACGATCGAAATGAGCCAAAGATCTGCCTAAGAAGAGGATTATTGAGAAAATAGTACCTTCCGCCCACCTAGAAACACTGGATGAGTGCAAACAGCAGCCTTAAACACAAGCCAATAACTAACTACGCAACTCTTTTCAAGGCACAAGACTCAAGATGGAGGTAGAGTTGTACAATTCTATGATATGTAGACTTTGTGCTGTTGAAAATTCAAGTGCAACCTTATTGTATTCTCCCGACGAAAATGGAGAAACTCTCAGTTCCGTGGTTAACAATTACCTTCCACTTCAGGTATGTTTTGTTTTCTTTCCATAAGAATTTCACTTGATCCCTCCGGACTTCAAAATGGAGGCTTCACTGATTTCAGTTGCACTAAATTCGTCTGCCTCACTGCTTAAATCAAGTTAACTAGCATTGGTGATTTTGGAACTTATAATTAAATGAAAAGTTGCTGCTTAAGTTGTCTCTAACCTAGAATGCCTCGCAGGGCAGTCCTCCTTCCCCTTATGTTCTGATCACGAGGTAATCTTTCTCATTGTTTTTCTTGTCCATGCACCGAACCGGCGAACCAATGTTGGTGTCAGGTTTGTTTACATCTTGTGTCTCTTCAAATTTTACATTTTGCACTGATACTCAATGACCCTACTCATTCTCTTCCTGGCAAAAGTTTTTAGTGCAACTGTCTTTATTTCTAATGCTTGAATAATGTATGTTTTTTATTTTATAAATTGTAATGTCTTCTTGGATATTTTGAAACAGATAGCCGATGATGGGAAACTACCCCGTACGATATGCCCACCGTGCAATCTGCAGTTGCATTCCACCAAAGCATTTCTGGATCATGTTGTGGATGGGCAACAGAAGCTGCGAGAGCTGTGGAAACAGCAGGTAAGTCTCACTATCACGTCACTCCTAAAGCTGTTTGTTCGTGTATATTGTTTTCATCCCAGCGCAGAGTGTAATTCAATTTTGTATTTCCAGGTGGAGCTTCAAAAAAAATTGGATAAAGAGAGATTGCGGATAGCTCAGGGTCAAGATATAATCATTCCAGAAACAATTACAGCAGAAGATGGAACTGAAGCCCAGATATTAATTCATTGTAAGTTATGTGTATAGCTGTTTTCTCTCACCTCTTTCAAATGTAATATTATGCTGACATTATTGGACATTTTGTCTTACTCTTTCAGTGCCTGGTGGGACTATCTTCACAGCGGGACACAGCCTTTCTTTAAAAATGGAAGGGTTAGAAAAACCAAAGAGAAAACGTGGAAGACCACCCAAGCAGCGTCCAGACCCAGAGCAAATGCCCGCGGTGGAGGCCTCTTCCATTGCCGAGAAGGACAATGAGCAAATGTTGAACGAATCTATGGAACAGGATGATATGGATGATGATGGAGAGGAAGAAGGAGAAGGCCGCAGAAGACGCAAGAAAAAAATTCCCCGCAGGTAATGAACATTTTAAACCCTAGTGGGGTTTGTTCTGTTTATTTCATGAAGGATGTAACAGTCTGCTGCTGTAATTTGGTTTAAACGACAATTTTTTCTTTTTTTTTCTTTTCAAGATTCATGGAAGCTGTGCAGGGCAAGGAGCTTGAAAGAATATTCCGTGAAGAAGGAGTAATTGATGAAGATGACGATGAAGGGGGTAAAGCTAACATGGATAGCTCTCGCCCTGCTCAATCAACCAAAGATGGTAAGTTTCAAATTTTTGTCTCTTCCAAATAAGTAGATGTCATAATGATTGACTGCAGCAAAAATTTTATATATGTTGTAAAAATTCTCACAGAAGTCATAGGACACCTAGAGACACCTGATGGGGGCCTGGGTGAACTTGTCATTGTTAATCGTGGCCGCGGCCGAGGCCGTCCTCGTAATTCCAAGAAACGCAAAATAAACTATGAGTGTGAAGTCTGTGGCAGAGGTTTCCAGCACCGCAGCAGATATACACACCACAAGTAGGTGGTCATCATTTTTAAACATTGTGTTTATGGTATCTACTAGTTGGTAGCATTGCTCATTCTCCTCTTCCCTTCAAAGGAATTACCACAAAGGAGTCAAATATGAATGTGGAACTTGCCAAAAGCAGTTCAATAGTAAAGATAACTTAGACTTGCACCATAAAACACTTGAGCACAGTGGTGAAGGTAAGACTTTGGAATAGTATAATTTTTCATATCCGCTTCATATTCATTAATCTGTGTGGTTCTTTCTTTTTCTTAAAGTTGTTATTGAAGCTCCTATGGAAGTGAAAAAAGATGATGGATCTGGTGAAAATAGTTTGCATTGTGACAAATGCAATAAAGAATTTCTTACTAAGGAAGATTTTGAGGTAGAACTTACGTGCTTTTTTTTTTAGTTTTACAAAAGCTTTTTGTGTACCTATCCTATATTTTGTATCATCTCTCCCCTTCATAGGTTCATTTACAAACTGTCCATGAGAATGATAAGCCATACAAGTGTCAGCTGTGCCCTATGACTTTCCCTTACCAATCTAGCCTCAAGTATCACATTAAATCTCAACATGACACTGGAAATTCTGAACAACCTTCAAGTTCCGGCACCACAGAGGCAAAATCTGATGGAAAGGGTGGTTACGAATGTGATATATGTGGAAAAGTCCTTAACCATCCTAGTTCTGTTCTGTACCACAAAGAGGCTGAGCACAATGATGGTCGTCGCTTTGTCTGCAGCAAGTGTGGTAAAGGTTTCAAGCATAAGCAACTTCTGCAAAGGCACCAGCTCGTCCATTCGGAAGACAGGTAAATGTAGACAGTTTTGTTTTGTAACACAGTTAGTCAAGCTCTAACCGATCTTTTTAATCTCCAACTAACTGAACTTTTCCACTTGTAGACCTTATGTATGCGGTGACTGTGGCAGTAGTTTTAAAACCAAAGCCAATTGGTTGAATCACCAGTCTACTCACACAGGGGAGAAGAAATTCTTCTGTGATCTTTGTGGGCATCAATTTGCCCACAAAACAAGCCTTACATTGCATTACAGATGGCATGCAGGTTTGGATAAATTCGTGTGGCTGCTGTTTTCACACTCCTGAGCATTTTTCTTTCATTGATTCCCTTTTTTGGAACAGGCCACAAACCTTATGAGTGTCACGTTTGCCAAAAGAAATTCTCTCAGAATGGAAATCTTCAGGAACACCTTCGTATTCATTCTGGAGAAAAGCCTTTCTGCTGTGACTATTGTGGACGGAAGTTCACAACATCATCACAGGTAGGAAAAAACATTGCATATGAATACTGTTTTACTTTCGGTTGTACCATCAGTTTTTTATTTCCTGCCTCAATTTTTCAGTTTAAGCTTCATGTGAAACGGCATACTGGAGAGAGGCCCTGGAAATGTGAATATTGTGGAAAGTCATTCTTGCACAAAGACACTTGGAAATGCCACACAAGAAGACATAAGGGAGAAAAGCCATTCAGGTGCAATTTTTGCACTCGTGGTTTTACTGAGCAATGGGCCTTAAAGAAGCACATGCGTTTGCACACAGGTCAGATGAGATCCAATTCTTTGCTTATACCTCTACCATCGTGTCCTTCTGGTCTTTTGATTAACATTTTCTTTATAGGTGAGAAACCTTATTCCTGCAATGTATGTGGAAAATCGTTTGCTGATTGCTCAAACCTCACCAAACACAAAAAGGTAATTTATATTAGACCAGTGCTTGAAAGAAAATGTCCAAGTGGTTTTTATTTATGTGCTTAAAAAAATGTCATGCATCCCATCACTTGAAAATATTTTGTTTCTAAATTAATTTAGGTGCACAGGGAGAATAACAAGGTTCCTCTTGGAAATACACTGCCTATGGATCGAGCGGTGTGGAATATTATCAGACAACAAATGCCTGAGGAGCTGGGTGGCACTGCAGGTTCTGATGAGATGGTCGGATTAGTGCCAGGGCCCTCAGGAGTGACAAGTGTCAATGAAGATGGTGAAGCTGTTCAACAAATCATTTATGTGTCCTATCAGGATCCAGACGATCCCTCAGAGTCTCACACTTTGCACATAGTTGATGATGTGGCAGGAAGTGCTTCAGATGTAAGTTTTTTTTGTGTTTTTTTTTTTTTTTTTTTTTCATTCTACTCATTAGTGTTTAGTGTAAATGTAACGTTCATTTGGTTGTTCTCAGGATTTAAAACTTTTGTCCGCTGGAGATGATACTACTCAGTTTGGTGATGCAGTTGTTGGAGATACGACACTGGACCTTGGTCATCTTATTGCACCCCAGGGTGTGCCTGTCACTGATGAGGAAGGAAATCCAATCCATTTTACAATGCAGGATGGAAGCCAACTTCAGGTAAGATTGAAGCTTACTGCACTCAGTCAGAGGGTGTGATCCAACTTCCTCCAATTGCATTATATTAACTCTTATTACTCAAATTTTCAGATTACAACACCCGATGGGCAGTCGTTAATGGTGACCACAGAAGATGGTAGAGCCATCCCTGTTCAATTAACAACTGCTGAAGGTCATCCAATCTCCACAGGTTTCCCAGGTGCAGATGTGTCTGTCCCAACCAGTCACTTGCACATTGGCAATGACCTTGGCGGCAAGAGCTTGGCTTGTGTTGGCGATGGTTTAATTGTGGTAGGAAAAAGCCTTTGACACCCTCACAATTTGACATTTTTGTCACTTATATGGTTTGGTAATACTATTATTTTACTACAGGAACATTCAGGAGTTGGTGTTGTGGATTCTGATGGTGATGTCGGACAGCATATAGAATTTACAACTGAAGATGGTCAAAAATTAAGATTTGTCGCCTCTTCTGATGTGAACCAACTCCAACTTGTAGCAGATTTAATGTCATCCCACATGTCTCAGGTAGATTTTAGATCTTATCTGTAGTTTCTTACTATGAGGACTGATCTTTGCCGACCACCTAATTTATTATGTTGTGATTTTCAGGTACCATAATTCTCATCAGCATCTCAGTACGAAAATTGATATGAAGAAAATTTATATATACATGTATTATATATAATATTATTATTATCTAGATTTAATGTTTATACCTTTTGTTTTTTGTTGTTGATTATACTGAAAATTTGTTTGCATAACAATATCAATCATTGTTAATCAAGGAATTAATGAAGAAGACTAGTTGAAAACATCTTGCAACTTGGCTTTTTTATTCATCACATTTTTCAAGGGCCATATTACATACAGTGCCACTTAATCTCAGGTCTCAAGGATTTACACTTGGCTTACTACTTTTAACTGCTTAAATGGATTGCTTTATGGATTGAAATTGATGCCCAATAATTTTCTTATAGCTAAAGTTGAATGAAGCAATTTACATCACCATTGAACATGGGTCAAGAGTTTTAGATATTTTTTTTGTGATGCATCGTAAAATAGATGTAAACTTTGTGCAGATTAAAACTTCTCTTTACATTGTAAAATTCTGTGTATAATCATATTCAATAGTTGGAATGACAGATTGAACAAACTTCAAGAAAATGATGAGGTACATGTGAACACCAAGCTCACCACCTCCCTCCATAACAGTTTCAATAATTTTTTTCATTACCTCGGCATGCCTGAAATAAATGGGCTGTAGCAGTATGCTTGAAGTACGATCAGAAAAAGAGGCAAGCTACAGAACATTGAACTCACCGACAAGGATGGACAGATGCCATGGAGGGGCCTGGAAGGTGTGGATGTGTCTCCATTGTCACTGTTTTCTTTGCATGGTCTTGACTAACATCTTCATACATTTCTTCTACATTAAGAGGCTTGTGACTCTGAAAATTATAAAATATAGAATTCAAATCATAAAGGGGACTTTCAAAGAGTTCACATTCAGAGAATTGTGATCACTTACTTCATCATAACCAGTAAGCCAAAGCCTGGGTGTTTGGTAATATTTGTCATATGTGATGTGCAAGTCATAGGTACGAGTGCGAATAATATCATCATCTGTACTTGACAAGGTTGTAGGCAATGGGTTTTCAGCTTTGCTAATCTGCGTTGTGTCTAATGTGGCCTATAGACATACAGAAACAAAATGAGAAACGAGAAATGTGATCTAGACAACCACAAAAATATCAAATCTCATCAAACTTCTAACCTTGTCATTTTCATCCAATAGGCCACTTTCCTCAAACTCTTCCATGTCGGCAGCTTCTCCTTCATCATCGTCGTCATCATTATCTCTCTCAGTGATTCCTGCATTTGCAGTGCTTGAACTACTTGCCTCAGCCTGAAACAAGACAATGAAAACAGTGCACATTATTTCTTGACCTAATTACACATTAGAATGAAAGCATATTCATACAAACCTTGACATCCAGTGTCATCTCAGAAACTTTTTCGTCAAGACCCGCATAGTGGTGGGTATCCACCCAACCGCCATCGGAATCATCACCCTCAATAATTTTTTCATGGTCATCACAGTACTCCATCTACGAGAGAAGAAGCAAACATCATTAGTAAAGATATCTATCTAAGTAAACATAATGATTTGCAGGTTGCAGACAGTACCTGTTTACATCTTCGAGAGCAGGGCACACTCCTTGTGATTAAAAATTGCTTGTTTGGAGGGAGGTAACTTTTGACTCGGGCTTCGTCACCCGTTGCCCATTGCCAAGTAGGGCACTGATGAACTAAATGGTCTCCGGCAGCAACAAACTCTTCAGGAGTCAATACTCCAGTCTCTCTAAACTTAGATTCCTGGGGAGGTAAAAGAAATATTCACTCATTAGAGACAAGATTGCAAACAAGGCTAAAAATTCTGGATCAAAAGGAGTGAAAGTATACAAGTTTGACATAAAGCAGCTTGCCAAAAAGGCAAAACAAGACCAACGTCATCTTCCAGCAGTACTAGACACACAAACCTTTGTCACTGACAGGTTATGTTTACTGCAGATTAGATCTCTGCAATGACGTGGATTCAAGAGAGCTTAAGAGACCGTTAAATTACTGGGCAGTACAGTAGCAGGCTACAGTGGTGGTGCCAGAGCCCGAGCCAGGGAAGACGAGGACGAAGACGGGGCACTGGACGTGGAGACGGTGGAGACCACCGTGCACAGTGCACCCACCTTAAGGACTGGAGCGAGATATTCCGCGACGCCCAGCGCTGTGCCCTTCACCGAGTTGATGACGCTCTGCATGATGCCGTTCGTCGGGAGCTCGCCCACCCACACAGGTTCAAAGAGTCAACCTCACTGAACAGGGAGACCTCCACAAGGAAAAACACGCACACGCAACCTGTCCAAGAGCATAACAGCCCACCTGACAAATGACAACTGCACAACAGAGCTGAACAGCTGTGCCGCCCCCCTCCCCGCGTTGCCCAGTTCGCCTAGTTCCCGGACCGCCCAGAGAGCGCGCCACTGGTCCGCAACGCTCTCGCAGTGGTTTGCGTGCACGATGGGTTGCCTACCCTCGCGGCGGGCTGAACCCAGAATTTTAAGGTGGAAGTTCGAGTTCACCGTACCGACCAGCTTTGTGAAACTTGTCGAACGGCAAGGATGCACACACAACCGCAGATCGCAGTGGTGGTACTTCAGTCAGTGTAGGCAGGCTAGTAGAGGCAGTTGTGACTAGCTTTTAGAGAACCAACTGAAAATAAAGTGAAAATCACCCTTTGTTATGCAAGTGCAATAAATTAAAAAAATGATAGTACTCGCCACTCTATTGATTTCTGCAAATAGCTGTGAATGTTTTCGGAGATGTTGTTGTCTTTTTTTTCAATTGTTCAATACCATTCTGGAATATTTGATTCGATTTGCATGTATGAATAGGCGCACATGTGTGTGAGTGTGTGTGTGTGTGTTCTCATCCCTTGGTCTAGGTGCACCGCGGAGGGACTTTGAGGGGGAGGGGGGTTCCCAGGCCCCATGCCGGCGCTGCCCGGGTGCCCCACCGTGCCGAGCCGAGGCTGCAGCCGGTACGCCGGTACCTGTCAGTGGGGCCCCAGCCCGCGTCTGGTCCGGTCGGCTCCGCTTCGTCTTGCAGCCCCCCGCGGGACTCCGGACTCCGGCGGCAGCGCGTCCTGCAGCTCGCCAGCAACGCCGTGACCGCCGTCCCCGAGCCGCGGCGCCGCCACCGCGCTGTGAAGCTGCACACCCGAGCAGCAAAGCCAAAACACGATAAAATCGCGAACTTGACGGAAACGCGTTGTTGTGTGAGTGTGTGTGTGATGCGCTAAGCGTCTCGCAGCCCTTGCAGTGTGGGCGAAGCTGGGCGCGGCTCCGAAGGGTGAAGGGCGACCGGGAATGACAACCTAGCGGCCCTTGGACTCCACGCACCGGCGCCATGGCGGGCCACCGAGCAAAGGTAAAAACGGAAACGAAAACAAAACGGAAACAGAAGCCGCGTCGAGTGGGTGGGCTGGGCGAGCGCGCACTCGCACGGTCCATTGGACATCGGTGTCGGACGGAGGACGGACGGGTCATCGCCGTCCCGTCCTCCCGGCCGACAACAGCATGCACGAGGTTCGTGGTTCGAAACCGATGCGCCGCTTCTCGCGACTCGGCGAGTCCGATGTAAGTGGGCGAGACCTCTCACGATGCATTCAGGGATCCGTAGACTCGGCTGGGGCTGCCTGTGTGAACCTGCGCCTCTCTGCGCCTATTTATGCCTAATGCTGGGCATTGTAAAGGAAATGAGAGAAAACGACTGCTACGATTAGTTTTAATTGTGTTGACTGTGGTCCCTTTCAAAGGGACAATCATTCAAATTTCAGTCGATTCGATTAAACTTTTCGAACAGTGTCTGCGAGAGAGACAGAGCGACGAAAGCACCGCCTCCGTTAGTGGGTTCGCACCCCGTTTTGGCTTCCGCGCGCGTGCTTCGTGTTTCGCTGCAGGGAACTGTGTTTATGTACTGACCCGTGATCGGGCCCGCTCCGCGCTCCGCTACTGGGTAGCCGGATAGCACTCTCTCGCCAAAGGCAGCCAGAGGCAGCCAAAGGCCTGAGGTCAGCTCCGTGATTTGATTATGGGCAGCGGTATGATCAGCCGCGCCGCGAAAGGCAACTGCCATTACAAAGGGAGGCGGGGAGGGGAGGCCGCCGACTACACTGTGCACAATAAAAGTGTAACATGAGCGGACGCGAAAAAGAAGCGGTCGTTTTCCGAGCCGGGCTCCAGCAAGCCTGGCAGTCTCTCTTGCACCCATAGGGCGCGAGAGAGACAGAGCGACGAATTTCCGAACAAGCACTGTGTGGCGGCGTCCAAGGCGAGGGTTGTTCCAGGTGCTTATCCCGCCGGGCCTCGTTACACTACTTACTTTTACTCGCGCGGTCCCCACAATGGTCGGGACGAAGGCGAAAATGGGAGGGGGCTGTGAGAAAAAGAGCACGACCTCATGGGAGGCGACGTCCAGCGTCCGGCGAGGTCCGCCTGGAAGTTGCAAAGGTGAAAAAGGGTTGGGGGGAGGGGGGACTCCTCCGTGTGGATGGGATTATCTCGAGGCGTGACTGCGGTGGTCGGCCGGCCGGCCGCCACACTGTCCCGTGGCTGCACGCCGACAACGCCAACAACGCCGACGTGGCGGTGGTGGCGGCCTGCTGACCTGCTATCACGCTGCAGCGTCCAGCTCGCCGTCCAGCTCCGGCAGACGCTCCAGGCCCTCTGGTCGCTCTCTAGCCAGGCATAGCCAGGCCCCAGGCCGAGCTGCTAGCCCTCCAGCCAGGGCTCTGAGGAGAGGCTCTCTAGCCAGGGGCCTTCAGCAGGGCCTCTGCGACATCCTTTTCGACAGAAAGCTAGAGCAGTCCACCAGTCGGTCTCACCTGAGCTGACCACTCCAGCTGACCCCCTCTCTCTTTCTCCAGCTGACGCTCTCCAGCAGACTCCCTGCGAACCAACTCGGCAATACAATCGTCTGGACCATTATCGGCTGCAGCTTCTATAAGCAATTTGCCCGCCTCCTTCCCCTCTCCCTTTCTCTCTCGCTCCGCTTCATTAGGCATGCGACCCGCGCGCAGTGTGGCGGCACCGCCATGTCGCACGGCAGCGCACGGCGGCCGGTCAAATGGGCCGCCCGGCCCGCGCGGCCCCCATTTGTCGACACAGTTTTGTCAGTTCGCCGTCGCGATTGAAGACGCCGCCACTTCGCCGGAAGAGCGCGTTGACAACCGCGAGGCAGAGAAGGAGAAATCGGGGTCGCCTCCGAACGACATGGAGTATGTCACACGCACTGGAAAATAAGTTAAAGTCAATAATCGACTGAAAAAAATCGTGGTTTTAAAAGCTGTTGTCGTTTTTACTAGTGCACTGAGTCCGTCACTACGCGGTGAATAATTGTGATGCGAGGTGGCGGATGGGATGGAATGAGATGGGATTGGACGCGTCTGGCGACTATGCCCGTATTTGGACGAAGCGCAGGTTAGGCCGTCTGTCTCCCTCGCACTCGTGCGGCGTCCCGCGGGGGTGCGACAGAGAGAGGATGCGCGCACCGCGGGAGGCGAATTGATTGGCAGGACTGGAGTTGCTGCGTCGCTGCGTTCGAAAAGCCGGTCCTGGCAATCAGTGCATCGGCCCGACAGTGGCGCTGCACCGCGCTGCACCGCGCCGCGCGTGACTGGATTCGGAAGCATTCGGAACCCGGCGGCACCGCCCGGCACAGCGTGGGTGGCACCGTGTGCGGCAATCGCAGCCGATTCAGAAGCAGGACGCAACAACAACAAAAACATAAACAACAACAACGAAAAGGCAACGCACGGGACGAGTCGAGACTGCAGGAATAAGGACACATCCCGCTTGTCGGGGAGAATTTCGAGTATGCATGTGTGTGAGAATCTGGACTATCTGGAGTATCCCCCCGGCCGGCGAGTCCTGGAAGAGGACGCGGACGCTTCCAGATCGAGTCCTGGACGGTCCTGGACGGTCCTGGACGGTCCTTGCGGAGTGTGCGTGGACAGAATGCGGACGGAGCCGTCACCATGGAGACGGGCCGGTCCCTCGATGGGATGACTTACGCTAACCGCGCGCAAACCATTTCGCAGATCTCGCGAAGCTGATTAATAAAAAGCGTCTTGTTTCCTTGTAGCCGCATCTCCGTTTATTTGTTTATTTTCTATCATTCTTTTTTCTTCTTTCGGTGTACTTGTCCCGACTTGCCCGGTTCGGCCGATGATATCACGCCTTTGAATTTCGCCCGCCACCTTGAGCGCGGCGCCGCCGTCACCGCCTTGGTCACCGCTCAACGAGGAAGCACTCGCCTCGAAAAGTTGGCAAAACGCGCCATTTTATTATTAGCGGTGCACACGCGGATACACTGACTGGATGCACCGTCAGAAAAATAAAGTCAAAATGAAATAAAACAAAATTCAGTTGACGTTATTTTTAGCGAAGTAAATCAAAAACAGAATCTTGTTAAATTTTCGGTATACTGAAAATTTCAATAGAAAATTTCAGTTGAATTTTCAATTGAAATTTAATTGGCGCGACAACAAAGTTAAGTCGAGTGAACTTAATGTTTTTAAGAGGGTAAAGCGCACTCTTTATGAATGGTCTGCCTGCCATTGCGCATCCTGAGTCATCACCCTCGGACACCTTCCAAACGACTCGTTCATTGCCGTGATTAGTTCCCAAGCCTCGCTCTGTCTCTCTCGCACCTGCACGGGACGCCCCACGAGTGCGAGAGAGACAGAGCGACGACTCTCGGCATCGGCCTGCTGCCCGGTGAAGCCACCACCCCGTCAGCTGCCCGCCAATTAATTGATTACCCGGCTTCCTGCCTCTGTGTGAGAGTGTGTGCGTGTGACCGTGACCGTGTGTGTGTAAGATTATGTGGTGGGTGATGTCACCCCTACAGTTTTCATCCCGCCAATATTTCATGCTGACAGACAGGCAATGTCACCCTGTAGGAAGCAGCAGCCCATTGCGTGCGCCAGACATGTGTGTGTTCGTGTGTTTATTATATCTTTTTTTTTAATACTGGATGTAAGATGAGCAGGAGCGTGGCTGCCATGCGAATGAGATAGAGGTCACGCGGGGTCCGCGTCGCTGCATGTGTTACTTTCCGAATCACGCATCACGATTCTCGGTTCATATTCATCGACATTCGCTACTGCAGTTTCCGGTTCCCGTTCGCCTCTGAACAAGTCCAGTAATAGCCGGAGCAAAAGTTAGTGGCAAAAAAAAAAACAAAAAAAAAACAACGCCGTTGCCGGTATTTGAACCCCGGTTGTACGCAAGTCCGCGCACGGTCCGCTTGTTCGGCCCCAATTATCAGACAGACGAATCGGGGCTTTCAAGGACGCTTGCGCCGCAGAGCGACGCGCGGAAGCCGCGGCCCGGAAAAAGGGACACAGTAGGGAACTCGGACGCGGATTCGGATTTTACTCCTGCTGACAAAAACTATGTTGCGATAGGTCAGGACTGTCTGGAATCGAACCCGGGGACAGAACAAAGTGACACATCGCCTGAAATACTTTATTTTTGTTTTGTTTTTCTGCCAAATGTGACTTGTTGCTGGTGATGCTGCGGGTGGCCAGTTATGTAGCGGGTACTGCATGCGCGGCACTTCGGGGCGAGCAGCTGGAGTGGCAGACGCTGGCACCCCCCACCCCCTTTGCGAACAATGGGAGCAACAAGGATGCAGCGGGCACTCCTTTTGAATCATCACCGAGCCCGGCATGGCCGGCACGGCCAGCATGGCCAGCGCTGGATAACGGCAAAGGTGGCGTCCGCGCGGCCTCGGGGACGCCGCGGACGGGGCCGCCGGGCCCGCGCGCCCCGCGAGTGCGAGAGAGAGGGAGAGGCGCGGCGCGCACGCCGCCCCTAGCGGGCCGAGGGCCGAGGGCCCCCGAACAGAGGAGTGTGGTGCCCCGGTGCCCCGTCAGGCCGTCTGGCGGCCGTTGTGCAGCGTGGTCCGAAACGGCACTCTGCACACGGCGTGCTTGGCCGCGGCCGGGACGCGCCGCTCGGACACCTTTTGGCGGCTGCGACGCGACGCCTTGCAAACCCCCCAAACAGGCCGATCTTCGTCTCTCTCGTGGGGCGTCGCGTGGGAGTGCGAGAGAGACAGAGAGACACGCCGGCCACCCGTCCGTCCTCCAGGCCCAGGCTCTGGCCGAGGCTCTGGCCGAGGCCCTGGCCGTGTCCTGTCCGGTTTATGACGGCAGTGCGCAATACTACACCGTTAGTGGCGCTGCGAGCCGCGAGAGCCGCGAGCCGGGATGCACCTGCAGGGCTGCGGCACTGCGGCACTGCAGCACCGCGGCCCGGTGTCTGGTCTGGTGCAGTGCGAGAATGGCACGGCACACACCGCCCGCCCCGCCCCGCCCCCACCGCAGGCCCGTCGGGTCGGTCGGGCCGTGGTCGCGGCGG